GTGGGTGGATGAAGGGGAGGGGGCAGGGGGAAGGGGGGGTGGTAGAGAGCACGTTCCCATGACGATGCTGCGGCACTGCGGCTAGACAGGGGACCCGGATGAGAGATGGAGATATAGAGGAGGATGAGATAGAGAGAATCAATTTCGAGGTGACGCCACGGAGCGCTGATGCGGGATAATTTATTCCACGCATCAACCGCTGAATCGATCGGATCCCGTCACGCCGAAACGTACCGCCGGAAAATGCGATCGGCGAAATGCGGGCGGCGCGAATGCGACGACTGCAGGGCGCTTAATTCGCCGATATCTGAAGGGAGAGAACGCGCGGTCCCCTCGTCCTCTCGATCCTCTGCCGACCCTCCGCGCGATTCTCTCCAACGAGTTTTCGTCTATCTAGCTGCCAGAGAGGCCGCGATATTTCATCCTATTAACCGGCAGACGGAGGCGCTGGCGAAAAACGGGCCGCCTTCCCTCGCCGAAGCGGGCTGCGGACGGTGCAATTTGTCGCGTAATCATTTTTATCGCAGTGGTGTAATATCCTCGCCAAAGGCGCGAGCACACGTTTGCGGTCGCCGTGCGAGCCGCCGGCGTGTTGATGCGATCGCGCGTTTTGCGCTTTCCAAAAAGCGACAAGTCCGAAGTAACCCTCGGTAAAAATGTCACTTTAGCCTTGGAGCGAGGGTGGAAATGTAATTTATTTTATCTGGTAGAGGGTGTTCCCAGATATTCTTAATGTTGTGGTGTTAGGATTATTAACTCTCCAATCGTATACAAACGTACAGCTACTATCGAGATCTTTGTTTTTAAAAATAAGTAAGTAAGAACAAAAAAAATTTTCGATAAATGATCGATAAGATGATTTCATATATTGATATTAATTTATGACATCGTTATTTTATACTGATTAATACGAAAATGAAAATGGGCAGGAGAGTGTATTGCAATTGCAATGCAATGATATTCTTTTGAAAAAATAAACACGTATATATAAAAGAAGATAATACAATTATTCAAGAATCTACCCCGTGCAATTTAATGCTATATTTTCATGTTTTAATGATAACAGTGTAATAGGTTGTTTTTGTACGTGCTGTAATGTTTGTTTTTGTTCAATAGATTTTAGCCTTGCAAATGAATGCAAATGAATTATTCTATAGAAGTAGACATATAGGTAATACGTTACATTTAACCCAGGTACTTTAATGAGAGTGTCAATGCCAAGTACTGTTTAGCGCGCGAGAGAGCGATAAGATGTCGAGAAAAAACCAAATTGCTGCAACGCTTAATGCGTCGCTTTGTCTGTAATTTATAGGTGTTGATGACTCTTTAAAAGTGCTTTCACGACTTAATTAATTAAACTGCGCGGTTAAAATCGTGACGCTTGGCTGCTCATAACTATATACTTACGCGTTTTCTAAGTAATTTGAATACCTGATATCTACCGTATCCTTTTACGTCGACGCAAGGCATTATCCCATTGTTCGCGGTATCTATTTACATAAGGAAACCATGGTAAATGAAAATTTGCCTTGTAAGGGTAAGCGAAGTTCTAGCTTCTCAACACGGGTAGAACGAGCAAAATGTGGCTGCAAGGAAATGTATAATTATAATAATTGCTCTGCGTGCGCGCGAGAATGCATATGCATGCGACGTGGCGATTGACAAATGAAAACTTCATTTATTTCTGGCGTTGAGAAATATCATAATACGGGCTTCTTTGACGAACGGATCGTTAAGCTCGAGTGCCATAGCCCTTGGCGTGAAACGAAAAAAAAAAAAGAAGAAATGAATCTTATTATGCATTTTATTACTTACATAGAGCGTAGTGCGAGCGAGCGTAACGGCGTACGTTCGTTCCCTCGCGCAACCTTATTATAGCGTTATACTCCCCTAAGGACGTGCCGACGTACGGATATTATTTCCTTTTTCTTCGTGTGTCTTCGTCGGGTATTGATCTCGGGGAAATCCCCGAGAATCGAGGGAATATATCGCGTCGCGAGAGGGGCAGCGCGAGGTAATGCGGATATTACGCCCCTTTCTTTCTGCGACTTTCTACAATTTGATATTTCGCTTAACCGGGCTCTACGTATGAACTTATGAAACGCTATAATCGTTGACTCGTAATAATAGCCGTGACTCTGCACCGGTGGCCTCAACCTCGTTTTAGTATAGTTGTCGTCGGTCGAACGTTGCTACCGCGTCTGAGCAAAGGTTTTACGGCCGGCATGACCGTTCGTTTCGGTCGACATCGTCTTGCAATTACTATGGCTTTTACGATTCGCCCGAGAAGAATCCACGACCTCTGATATTATGGCCCTGTGGGCGTACGTTGATTAAATGCAGGGGATTGAGACCGGCCACGGTCTGTGAAAATCAAGCACTCCTCTTTAGCTTGCGGCACAAAGCTGCAAAAAAAATCCAAGATTTTTCAGTCCGCGTAATATAATAGCTTGGCACAAGGGTATCCGATCGAAGACTGGCACTTTTGTATATAATATATTAAGTTTAGTAAGTTTTTTTCCGAGCTTACGCTACTTGCGCAAAATACACGACTAATGTATTAATTTAGACTTTGCTTCGAACAATTTTGTGATTATTGCTCGATAAGCCAACATTATTCCAAGTAGGTATATTTGTCAAGACTTTGCTCACGATGTGTAATACGGATGCAAAAAGTGCGGAACCCCGACTCTCTCGAGCGTTTCCAGATCGCAAAAATTGTTAGAAGCTAATTACTTTAATAGAGTTTCATACACCGATTCTTTTTTCCAGGAAACGCATTCCTCGTGAACGTGGCGCTGGCGGATTTGGTGGTAACCGGACTGGTAATACCGGTCTCGGTAATTGTAATCCTGGCGGGCCACGAAGAGTCCCTGGCTACCTGCCGATTCGAGTGGACCCTCGAGGCCCTTTGCTTTTTGGTGACCGTACTGACGCTGGCCGCAATCGCCTTCGAAAATTACGCACGTCTGTGTCTGCCCGCCGAAAGGTATGTGTGAGAATGGAGAGAGATCCGCGTAAAACGGGTGTTTCCGCAATTTAACGCGTCGACTGCCATGTGACATCACGGTCGTGTTTCATTTTCCCGTCTATTTTATCCCGGGGACCCTTTTGTGGCTTTGTGATATTCGAGCGTGGTATATATCAAGCGAAATCGAGAAGTTCTTTGAGACAACAACTTAACTGCAGTTAAGTTTTTTTCTATCTTTTTATACTTTTGATTCTTTGTTTTTGTTTATATTTTCTCCTTGCCAAAGCATTATCTTCGTTGAAAATTTCTTATCAAATTTATAGAAACATTAAATATATAAGTGTCTTAACATTAATTCATTAATATTTATAATACAGATGAAAAAAAGACAAACGTTAGAGTTTGGAATTTTACAGGTTTAAATCTTTCTAGATATTTTTAACTTATATGTTTTATAATTTTTTCCATA